GCTCCTGGGTGACATGAGGTTCCCTGGGGGAAATGAGGTGGTGGAGGGGACAAGGAGGGGACCTTGGGGACACAAGGTGACACCTGGGGACATGAGGTGACCTTGGGGACATGAGGTGGTGGAGGGGACAAGGAGGGGACCTTGGTGACACAAGGTGACACCTGGGGACATGAGGTGACCTTGGGGACATGAGGTGAAAGCGGCCGGGGGGGGGGGGGGGGGGGGCAAGGGGGGGAATGGATACAGCTGGGATTTTTCCTGCCGAAAGGGACAAATCCCTACTATTTTCGGTCACGGAACCCCCCCGTTTCGATGCTCCGTAAATTGTCCCCGCTGGGGACGGGGACCGTCCCCCCCCCAAGGCACGACCGACCCGGGGGGGGCTCGGAGGCGGCTCCGGGGATGCTGCTCCGGGGTAGCCACCCAGGGGGGGGCTCGGACGGACCCCCCCCTCTCAAATCCCACCAAATCTCCTTTGCTCGTGTTTCCCGAACGGGTGGGGAGCGGAGAAACGGGGAAACCAGTAGGACCAGAGCCTGAGCACTGGGCGGCACTGGGATACAGAGCTGGGGAGGTGGAGGGGGTGAGAGGAGCCCGGGGGGGACTCTCTGTCCTCAGATGGAGCCTTCCAGCACCCTATTTCCTCACAGCCCCCACTCTAATTCCCTGAGTCCCTGCTGGGGATGCCGGGGTACCCAAAAGCATCCCACCGGCCGGGGAGCAATTGGGGTGGCAGACCCCCATCTGGCTCCTCTGCAGCACAAAACCCCAGAAAAAACCAAACAAACCCCAAAAAAACCAAACAACTACTCTGCATTTTCTCTCAGATCTAACAATTTTTTTCTCCTTCACTCCCAACCCCTTCTATTTATTGTTTTTCCTGATTTTGGTTCAATTCAGAGGGAGTTGGGATCCCCCTTTCCTCAGGTGCCGGAGGTAAATCCTGCCCAATGTCTGACTCCAGTCACTTCCATCCCTCTGGAATGGGATGGTGGGGAAGGGGGAAGGTGTGTGTTTTGGGGTACACCCAAACCTGGGGTGTACCCCACTTTCCCTGTGCCCCTCCAGGCTGGGGCTGCCACAGTGGCAGCACCCACAGCGGCAGAGACATCGTTATAAGGGCAGAATTATCCCAAATTCACGGAAGTCAGGTTTCTAAGTCCGTCTAACAAAAGAAAAAAGGGGGGAATTTTCTTTAATTCCCATTAAACATCACAGGAAAGTTCATATTCAGTTTATCAACTCTCAGCCCTGCTTCATCTTATTCCCAAGGGACCCCGTTCCCAGTTTGATCCTCCTTTGGAAGCACAGAATCACAGAATCGTAGTGGTTGGAAGGGACCTCAGAGATCATCGAGTCCAACCACAAAAAAAAAAAA